CTGGCAAAAGAAATCCATGATTGGTTAGGGTTGTCATCTCGGGATCGGCTGATTCAGTTTGTCCTTAACGATTTTGCATGTGACATCTAAATCGATATGCCGGTTGATGCATGCTTTGTCTGAGTGCATCGCCTCCAGGATTTAGCCGCCTTTCCTTGTTTGGCAGGTGGCAACAATGCGCGTGTTTTCCCATGCGAATTTGTTATCAGTGTCTAGTGTGTGGATGACCACCTGGGATAGATGTTCGCGTCTCTTTAACGTTAACTTATGCTCATGAATACGCGTTGAGACAGATTTCCCAGTTTGGCCACAAAAAAACGGCATCACAAATAGAACATGGGATTTTGTAGACGACAGCTTTTCTTTCGAGGTAGCTGACCCTGTCCTTAGGGTACACAAGCTGTGTGCGTAAGGTAGTTGCCGGCTAATGTGCTACGTGTATTTGGTACTTTTTCAATTGTCTTTCGACATGTTCTGATACATTTTGACGTGTGGGCGAGTTTGCCATGTGGTTGGTTTTTGAGACTGAATGGCCGTAGCATTGGAAATACCTTTTCCCTTCAGTTGCTTTTGCCTCATGCCTTGACGTAGAAAGTCATGCGGGTACCCATTTTGGGAGAACAGTTTGTAAAAGGTATTTCATTTCTGCTCGATAACTTGTTTCGTCAGAGCAGTGGGTTTTGGCTCGATTCAGAAGGCTGTAGACTGTGCTCCATTTGTGAGAGACGGGGTGGTTATTCTTAAAGTGTAGAATGACCTCTGAATACGCCTTTTTGCGATAAACTGATATCTGGAATGATCCATCAGTTTTTCGACGTACAAGGACATCCATGAATGGGAGTTGTCCATCGACCTCTGGTTCCAAAGTAAATGTAATTCCTGGAAATATGGAGTTAATATTGGTATGGACGAGATTCAACTGATTTTTCTTGACGATGACAAAAATGTCATCTACGTATCGCAGCCAAAGTTTTGGATTGACTGTGGGAAGGGCTATGCTCTCTAATTTCTGCAATAATGCTTCTGCAAGGAAAACGGATATTGGTGAACCCATGGGAGCACCTTTTTATTGCCGGTAGCATTGATTTGAGAAGGAAAAATTTGTCTTTAGACACCCGTTGTCTGAAGACGAGCTGGGGAACCAGGCTCAATAATTCCCAATAAAATGTTTGCTGTTTCCCAAAGAACATCACCTTCCTAGTGATTTATATATATATATATATATACATATGGATGTAGGCGAAAATGCTGACCCCAGGTGTTGAAATTGAAGAAGATGGTAAGGCGAGCTCTGAGGATGATGATTTATTCATCTGACGTTTCACACTCATACTCGAGCGCATCATCGGAGATAGGAAATATTACCATCTTCAATATTACCATCTTCTTCAATTTCAACACCTGGGGTCAGCATTTTCGCCTACATCCATGAGAATTCCGGGCGCGAAGCGCTTCGCCGAGCACGGCATTGGGAAATATTTTCATGTAGACAGGGAGCTACACGGGAACAATTGGTCTTTCTACACAACTGCCTAAGGTCAGACATCATGCCGAGGAGTGTTTCTGTGAGACCACCAGCTAAGACCGATTTCGGTCGGGAGGTCGCCAGGAGCTGCAGCCGACGCTTACTAAGAACCCTCATCAACGAATGTCATATTCGCCTGGGAAAGTACGGCAGAGAAATCGAAAGGGAGAAAGCAGCATGTGCATCACACCTGGAGGATCAAACACTACAAAACCTGGAGAGCTGGATCTCGATAAAGGTGAACGTAGAGCGAGGGAAGAAGAGGGTCCAACTCCTGAACAAAATGCGTACCCTACAGCAGGCAGATGCAGCTATGTCAGAACCACCGTCCGTCCACAACCTCTCATCCAAACAGCTGACAGACGACCAGATTAAAGTGCTTCAGCACGAATCTGGATACAACACAGGTGACGCGCAGCCACTGGATTTTATTGCGGCATTGGAAGCGACACTCGCAAAGACAGATACCACAGAAGACTCCAAGAAATCCATTCGCCAGCGAGTCTCATCGCTCATCATATCCCACAAGCCACGTCGGACCATCTCCTCGGTCGAATTAAAGGCTATTAGGGAATTAAAGATGGACGAAGAAATAGTCATTGTTCCAGCGGACAAAGGACGGGCAACCGTGATCTTGGACAGATCAGAGTACGTCGCAAAAGCCCAGGAACTACTAGACGACAACCAGTCATACAGAGTCGTCGACTCTGACCCCATAAAAACACTGGTAGGCAAAATTAACAAGGGCTTAAATCAGATGAGGAGCCAAAAGGCGATATCTGAAAACGATTGGAGACAAATGAGACCGCAAGATGCCGCTCCAGCGCGTTTCTATGGTTTGCCAAAAATCCACAAGCCAAATGTCCCCCTACGGCCCATCGTAGCGCTGAAAGGCACACCTACCTACGGACTGGCTAAATGGCTTACCAAGCACTTAAAGAAGCTGACGGAAGGATCCCAACACACAGCCGCCTCCTCAACGCACTTCCTAGAAAAAGTCCGAGGCGTGACAATAGCCCCCGATGAGATCATGGTATCCTTTGACGTCGTCTCTTTGTTCACCTCCATCCCTAAGGATTTGGCCATGAGAGTCATCAGTGAGCTACTGGAACGAAAGTACGACGATGAAGAAAAACCGTTTAAAAGGAAGCACGCGATGGAGTTACTGGACTACTGCTTATGCACGTATTTCACTTTTAACGGCCATACTTATGAGCAAATCCAGGGAACCCCTATGGGATCCCCGATCTCCGGCTACCTGGCTGAGGCGGTACTACAGGAACTGGAAACTCGTGTATTTCGGTCCTACAAGCCAAAATTCTGGATGCGCTATGTGGACGATACCTTTGTCGTCCTACACCGAGATGCGAAGGAGGCCTTCAGAGGAGAATTAAACTCCATCTTCCCACAAATCCAATTCACAATGGAGGAAGAAAAGGACGGAACGCTCTCTTTCCTCGACGTGCGGGTAACGAGGCAGGAAGATGGAACCCTCCAGACCGGTGTTTTCCGAAAAGCTACAAACACAGAGAAAATACTCCACTACAACAGCAACCATCCGCTGTCGCATAAACGCAGTTGCTTCCGGACACATTTCCGCCGCATCAACACGCACTGCAGCACAGAGGCCGAGAAGCTACAAGAGCGTGCGTCCCTGTGGCACCTCTTCCTTGTCAATGGATACCCACGTAGCTTCGTAAACAAATGTCTGTTCCGAAGACACACGAAGACTTACGGTGAGGCGAACCAAAAACCTGAGGTACTCCGTGTCTTGCCCTACACGAGGAACGTCTCTGAGGCCACTGAGCGTATGCTTAGACCACTTAACGTGGGCGTTGGACACCGACCGGAAGCCACCATCCGCCGATTAGTCATGCAGCCAAAGGGTAGGCTGCCCCCTGAGGACATGTCCGGTGTCATTTACCGCGTCAACTGCCTAGACTGTCAGGCCAACTATTGCGGCATGACAAACAAACGACTTAAAACGCGCATACATGAGCACACCTTAGCCGTCAAGCGGAAAGATGCGCGCTCACACGTCGCCATGCACAGTCTAGAAAATGGCCACCGGTTTGACTTTGACGGCGCCCAAGTGCTCGGCCGAGCGGAAAACAGACTGGCGCGAGAAATAATCGAGGCCTGGAAAACAGACACCAACTCCATCAACCGCTGCGTCGAACTACCGGCACCATACGAGGCCGCCAAACACCACCTACGCACCAGGGGAGGCCCAATGAGGATAGAAGTTGACGGCCCTATCAGGCGAGAGCGAGAGGGACCTATTTAAACCGTGTAATTTTCTAATATTTCCTATCTCCGATGATGCGCTCGAGTATGAGTGTGAAACGTCAGATGAATAAATCATCATCCCCAGAGCTCGCCTTACCATCTTCTTCAATATATACATATATATATATATATATTCAGACCTTTCAGAAAGGCAACATGTTTGTCCTATTCTTTGAAAAAGCAGGCATAGGCACTGAGGAAAACATATATTTGTTCACCTTTGGTGTGGATTTTTTAACTTATACAGGGTAAAGTTATCGGTTGATAATGATGTCTGCAATATTCGGCTCTGTTTGCATCTCATCCGTAGAAATTGCCACTGTAGTATGAGGTGGTAAAAAGAAAGAAGCAGGTACATTGACAGAAAGTCAATGCAATGCCTCCACCGATTAATATGCAGTTGCATAACAAGACTATATGTACATTCATTTTTAAATTGCGATCGTGGCAAGAAACCCGGGTAGAACACCATGCTCCATGAAGGCCAACAGCCTACTGGAGAAGTCCTCTGGGAACAAAAAAAACCTTATTGAAATTGAGCAAATAGGGGCGTTTCCTGAAGTAGTGCCGGGAACAGATATCCGAGCGGAGCACATTTTTCTGCAGTTAGATGTTGTAGAATGATGCAAGTCCTAAGGTGATTATCTTAAAACAACAGCTTTTCTGAGGTGTAACATTTCGTGTCCAATTTTAGTCAGAAGCAATGAAAGCATTCCAGAGAGCCACGACTCGTATCGATTAAAAGTTAGATGTCACCAGCACCATGCATTACGCAGTTTTTGTTCCAGGGAAAATTATAATTTAAATTCAATACAACTGTTCGGTCGGCAAAGCATACAACTTCATGATAGCTATAGATCAAGGCCTGCCAATTGCCGTATGCACTGACAACAACTTATCATATCACAAATGCAGCTTTTAATGATGGCGGATTAAATTTTCTGACAATTGCCAAAGCAGATGTCTGCCTGCTTGCATTCTGACGTCATTATGGAATGCTATTTAAAAGAACTCCCCTCAAGCATTCCCTTAACTGAAGTAATTAGACTTAGCTGTCTTGATGGTGGTTAGCCTTAAAGTGAACATCTTTGTAGTAATCAGCATTTGTACGCGTGATACAACGCTGTCTCGAGTGTGACAGGATGACCATGAAGAGTTGTTGTTGCTTTTTTCTGGTGCTAAGTCAGATCAGGTCAGGGAGGTCGAGCTGACAGACGCATACACTTCACTGCAAAACCCACTGTCAGCCGTGTCTTTCAAAGCGTCTACTGTCTGTATCGTTTACATGCCAGTATGCACTTACGTCAGCACGTCCACAAGACTCCACTGTGTATGCGTAAGCTGACTTTATCCACGCACACCTAGCCGCTGGACCATTTAGCTATCTCTCGCACGACCATAGAAGCGCGTGTTCACGTACACGCTCTACGCGCAGTACGTGCGGCGAAAGCAGTTTTGAGTTAAGGATTTAGAATATTCACAATTTATTGCCCTTAAAGCAGAATCTGCCTCTAACTGCAGGGATTAATCCACTTCGTCTATGTTCGTCGTCATAGGTCCCGTTCGATTAAAAACACCAAATTTGTATGAAGTATATCACTGTTTATAACCCTATCTGTTTTTGTCTCTGATGGTGTGTTCGATCAGGAATCCGAAACATCAGGCTAATAAAGCTCTTGTACTAGTCAGTGTGTCTCCTTCTTCAAACCTGGCAAATGTTCTCCATCAGTGAATCCTGAAGAAGTTGAATTCTAACAAAAGATAATTGGGCATTTGTGGGCGAACTAGATAGAACTTTGAACTGCTTAAGTTGATTGACAAAAGTAATTCGTTAACGCCAAGAATATTTATTATCAGGGGGTGCAAAAGAAGTCATTTTCATCCATAATTACTACCAACCGATGGTGAATACCGGTCCAGTCAACGATATAAAAGCCATTGCCTTCGAAAGACCTATCTGTCTTATTTCTTCAGACACGTAAATGCTTCTGCTCGCAGGCTCGTAGATAATGGAACGTCGTCTAATGCTAAAAGCCGACGTTTGCAATCCTTTTTAATCCGACCTGAAAACAGACATCTCTCCGTTATATAATTGACGTTTTGCCAAATTCCGAGTTTAGTCAATATTTCGTGTCCCAACATCTGCCTTAAATGTAAATGTGATCCTAGTAAGCCGATATTTGACACAAAGCAACTCGTATTTCGGTGATAAGTGGTGATGCGGAATCCGGCTTTATGTTCCTAACAAGCAGCTTGGGTCAAATTTCGTGCACACAGTTTGGAGACTTTCATTTGTTAAAATATCAAGAAAGATATCAAACTTTGAGAGGTCCACATTATCAAAAGGCCATTTTAGTCTGAATCGGTGAAATTGCATAACTGAGGAAAACTCGTGTGTTTTGTCCTTGAGATTAAGTATATTTCCAAGACTGAGCACTTTTATTTTTGTATAATTGTTATTTGCCTAATAATTTACGCTACACATGACATATATTTTTTTGCACCGTCCCGCAGTAAAGAGTCCGCTATCGCGTCCATATTTTCAATATCAAAGCTAAATTTGAAGCTGAAATTTTACTGAAAAAAGGAATGTAATCTAACGCATTCACATTTCGACAGACACTGACATGAAAATTCCAGAATTCATACTGAAAATCGGTTCAGCAGAGTACAGCTTGTTATGCCTAGTTTCTTATGTGGTAAATAGTGTTATTTGGAACAGTTAACTAATTTTTTTCCAGTAAATATAGTAAATATATACGTCAACGACTGCGTCAGTGAACTGAATTGTGATATCGCCATGTTCGCTGATGATCTTAAACTTTGGAGCGTCATCCGAACTGAATTTGACGAAGAGCGCTTGCAGGCAGACCTGACCCGACTCGAGAAATGGTCACTGGACTGGCTGTTGCCGTTTAATTTGACTAAGTGTAATGTCCTGCGAGTCGGCAGGACCCGATCTCTGAACCGGAGGGTTTACCACCTAAACGGCTTACCATTGCAGGAGGTAGACGCCCAGAAAGACTTGGGGGTGTGGGTAACGACTTCTCTAAAACCGTCTCTATACTGCTCCAAGGTAGCCAAGTCTGCGATGTCAGTCCTCTATCTTGTCAAGAGAGCTTTCTCTACCTTCGATGAGGACTGCTTCGTTAAAGTCTTTCGAACTTTCGTACGGCCACAGCTAGAGTTCGCTATTCAGGAGTGGAAACCCTGGACCTCTAAAGATCTCAGCATCCTTGAGAAAGTTCAGACTCGGGCAACCAAACTCGTAAGTGGACAGGGTTCACTACCCTATGAAACCCGATTGTCCAATCTCGGCCTCTTTCCACTGAGTTACAGACAACTAAGAGGCGACCTTATACAAACATTCCGTATACTGCGCGGCCAGGACTGCTGTCTCGTACCTACTGATTTCTTTGAGTTAGCGACCACAACGAACCTCCGAGGTCATCCACTTAAACTACGCGTAACTGGCGCCAAGCTGGACACTCGGAAGTTCTTCTTTTCAAACAGAGTGATCGAGGCCTGGAATGCTCTGCCTGCAGGTGTCGTCATGTCCACCTCCGTCGAGGCTTTTAAGCGCAACTTGGACCAGATTGCCACCAATCGTCATAATGCCACCTGACAGATTGTCTATCATTTCGTTCGAACAGTTTATTAATGTTGTTATATTACTTCCTGTATTTCAGTAACGTTTGTTTTTTTAATATTGTCCCATGTCTGTTAAATGTGTGTTGGCATTCAATTCGTCTCCCTCCGAAACTGAGATAGCACCAACTATCCCTAGACAGACTACTGTACAGCACATTTAGTAACGTTAATGTTTTTAACTCTTGGAACAATTCGTTTATCTGTCTGGCCTTCAAAACGCTGCCAATCTGAAGAAACTCTGTAGCCGTTTGATGTTTCCTTTCAATTTTTTATTATTGTTCGCCTCCTTGTAACAAATAGGGAGTTCGAAGGTTTAACACCTATATTTCCCTCAAATAAACTGAAAAAACTGAACATCTCTTGCAACCGATTGGTAGTTCATCGAGTGCGATTAATCGTAATGGGGACCTTCGGCGGTTGGCAACAGACCGAACAGTCCAACGTTTATCAGCCACAGCGGGATGGCTGCCTAATACTCACTGAATTGCCAAAAGTTAGTTAATAATATGTATCAATCTTACGAGATGCAATATTGGCAACACGGGTTTTACCTAAAATTACAGACATATTATCTGCCGACATTTGGCAGAGTGAAAAATTCCCTGACCAACGATTCCAGGTTCGAATCTCAAGTGATCCACACTTTGGGTTGAATATGACTGGTTAAGGACGATTAATAATGTAAAACGGTCATTTATTTATCGGTGTCTTGAATTTATCGGCACAATCTAAATTTTGTCTACTATTAGTCGCTGTGCGACTGCCTGCGAGGGTTCTGGTATGAGCCCCAAGGATCAACGGAACGAGCATTTTCCGAAACCCGAACGGTGAGCACCAACTGTAATAACACCGGACTGTACTTTTATTATTTATCCATACTGGATGAAATCGGAAAAATTGCATTCAGGCAAACGAGCTGTTTAGCAGTTTGTTAGTTTTGCCAGCGGCGTAGATATCGGCATTTCGGAGTTCAGTAAAGCGTTATCTTGGGCAGTTGCCAGTTAGTTGTACTGTGTCTGAGACATTTATCACAATTGACACCTGTACCATGTCGCTTCTGCCTCCATAGCAGCAGTCTTTGTTTATCTGCTGAATCACTGTCAAAAATCCAGATCTGTCGGTTATATTCGGCGGCATACGCTTTGAAATGTAGGCGTGAAAAGGCCACGCAATGGGTTTACATTGTTTTGTGTTAATGACGGATTAGCATTGCTGAATGCGACCAATAAATTAAGCACTTCGTCTGCGACAAATGTCGCATTTAGCGCACGATGAATCTTAATGACGATTAGACAACCAGTGTCGGTCCCTAAAGCATAACAATACCATTTGATCAGTACGACCGCC